TCACGGTAACACCCATCTGCAGCACGGCAGCAGCTTCCCGAGCCAGATCCCCGGGCCTCGAAAATTCCTCGTTGTTGCTTTTAATTAATACGTTTCTGCGCATTAAAAACCCGAAAGAGCCATCACTTGGAGCGTGTATTTTTGGTTTCACGTTTTGTGCTTTGTTCTGAAAAAGGGCAAGTCACTTCTTTTGTTTGTGATTGACCTGAGGATTTATGCCAAAATGAGTTGTGAACTATCTTAGTGACAGGACAAGGAGGCAGCTCATCCCATTCGAGTAAAATGGGGTCGAAACAGATTGCACAGGAGACCTTTGATGAGGCAGTGCAAGAAAACATAACAGAATTTGAAATGGATCCAGAAGAGGCTGTGAGAGAAGCTGTGCAGCAGTTTGAATCCCAAGGTATTGTAAATTCTTCTGTTTTTTTGCAGTTCAGATTATTATGCATGGAGGTTTTACATGTCTTAAAATCTAAGAGAACCTGTGTGCAAAGGATTGGGAGGAAGCCTGGAACACAGACACTATTAATGCTAACCTAGTTTCGTGGAGTAATTATGACTGCAAAACTGCTTTGAGTCTGGGCAATGAAATTAAACTCTTATTTTTTCCCGCTTGACATTTAGCTAGAATTAATGCTTTCTTCCAGGATGTGTTTGACCATTACAGTCAGGCAGAACTTTAGCAGCATTTCAGCATCTTTGTGCATCCATCCACACTTTTCAATAAGTTCATCTGTGTTCCCCAAGCTTCTGTAACTAATATTACATATCAGGTTTGTTATTTCCTTTTAGGTGTTGACCTGAGCAACATTGTGAAAGCTGTGAGGCAGCCAGCCTCTGAGAATGGGCAAAAGCAAAAGCATGAAATTTTGCTGGTAAGAACACAAATTTCTGTTGTCTTCTAAGGATTGGGTTTATATCATAGTTTCAGTAATAGACTGAGAATAATGAGACATAGCTTCTACTTCTGCCTCTGTCCTGTTTCTCTCTGAGCTCTTCAACGAGCAGTTAACCCCATCTACTCTGCAAAGGAGGAGTAATATAAAAATTCCAAGAGTTTTGCAGTGGAAGCATCTGTGTGAGTGCTGGACTCCAGCACTCCCTGGAAACACAAATTCTGGTGTTCATCCCTTAGAGGCAGGTTCTGCTGTTGTCCAAACTCAAACTGCAGAAGAACTTTAATGAAATAAAAGTATCCTAAGGGGTAGCTGTTAGCCATGAGGGTGGATGGAAAGATTGAATACAGCCCCTCACCAGCAAGAAGGTAAAAATACTCACTCATGTCACTGACTGCTGTGAAATGTGCTGGTTGGATCCTGTTCACCCACAGTTGGTCAGACTGGCACACAGTGATGGCAGAAGTACAGAGAAGCCTCCATCCATCCAGGGGTTCTGTGCCTGGAGGCAAAATGCTGCTCTTGAAGACGACGATTTCTTAGGTCGAGCTAATTTAATACTTAAAACTATTCTAAATAAACAAATTTGCCTCTCTCTAAAGAACTGCTCTTGTTCCTTCGCAGTTCAGATCCAACCTTAACTCTCCTTCTCTTCTTTAGACCTTGGATTCCCTTGGGAGGGCCGTGGCTGACTCTGACCTGGCTGAGGTGGCCGAGCAGCTCGTGGCCTTCACCGAGCAGTGCAAGGAGCAGCTGGCGTTCCGCTACCTGGCTGGGCAGAACGGCGCCTATCCTGTGGTCTTCTCTGCCTGCCAGCTGGCTTCGGGAGACAGAGATTTAATGCTGAAAGCCTTTTACACTCTCTGTGCCCTCTTGGATGGGCAACCAGACCTGCTTGACTCCCCTGGCCGGGATCTGCTGCTCCAAACTCTGAGGGATCACGGGGAGGACGCGGAGGTGACGCTGGCCGGGGTGCGCTGCGTGCGACACGCCTGCCTGAAGCACGAGGAGAACAGGCAGGACTTTGTGAAGGGAGGGGTCCTCCCCCTCCTCACCGGGGCCATCGTGAGGCACGGGGGCAGTGCTGACGTCGTGCGGGCGGCCGCCTCGGCGCTCAGGGTGATGACCTTCGACGACGACATCCGGGTGCCCTTCGGCCACGCGCACGACCACGCCAAAATGATCGTGCTGGAGAACGATGGGCTGAGAGTCCTCATTGAAGCTGCCAAAGGTAAAGTAACCCCGTCCCTCTTGGTCCTCATTTTGAAGTCGTCTGTGCTTTCTCATCTCAAAGATGGGCTTTGTTGGAACTTGAAGCTCCGCAGAGGTGATGGAGGAATCTGCCTCTAAAATCACAGAGTCCCAGCAGGGTGGGGTTGGGAGGGACCTCTGGGGATCATCTCATCCCACCCCCCTGCTCCAGCAGCTCACCCCCAGCAGGGTGCCCAGGGTCACAGCCAGGCAGATTTGGGATCTCTCCAGAGCAGGAGACTCCACAGCCTCTCTGGGCAGCTGCTCCAGGCTCTGCACCCTCACACCAAAGAAGTTTCTCCTCCTGCTCAGGTGGCACCTCCTGGGTTCCAGTTGGTGCCCGTTGCCCCTTGTCCTGTCACTGGGCACCACTGACCAGAGTCTGGCCCCAGCCTCTTGCCCCCTGGGGCCCTTTAGCTCTTGCTCAGCACTGCTCAGATCCCCTCTGAGGCTTCTCCAGTTGCACAGCCCCAGGGCTCTCCGCCTGTCCTGGCACAGAGATGCTCCAGCCCCTCAGCATCTCCAGAGCCTCCACTGGACTCTCTCCAGTAGCTCCTTGCCTCTTTTGAACTGGGGAGCCCAGCACTGGACCCAGTACTCCAGAGTTGGCTTCACTGGGGCAGAGTATGATATAAGATGCAGAGTAAATGATGTTCAACTCCTTTGACAAAACGTGCCACAAGAGAATAAAGTAATAGGACTGCTCTAGAGGCTGTTGGCAGCCTGAGGGTGACAGTTACCAGAGCTCTTGGTCAATCCATCAGGGAGGTGCTTTACAGCCAGGACAGTTCACAGGCACATGATCCTGCTGAGGTCCTGCCTTCTTGTCAGGATATTCTCCCTCAGTCAGACTCAGAGTGCCCAGCACAGCTCCTTGCCCATGATCACTCCATCCCTTGTCTCTCCTCAGCATTCCCTGATGATGCTGGTGTTCTCAGCGAGCTCTGTGCCACCCTCTCTCGCCTCTCTGTCAGGAATGAATTCTGTCAAGAAATTGTGGACCTTGGTGGCTTGAATTTCATGGTGTCTCTCCTGGCTGACTGCATCGACCACCCGGTGAGCGACAGGAAGCGGCCTCGGGGGTGGAGGGAACACAGCAGGGGGAGCTTTTCACTTTAAAACCCTACCTGGGAGCAGGTCTCAGACTGTGCCTCATTTTAGGTGCAGTCAGGGTTGAAACCCAAGCACGGATCCCTATTTCCAGCCTTACATGCTGAACTAGGCTACCTGTGTTCTGCCAAAATTCCCAGCCCTTTGCTTGTGGTTACTGTGTTCTTCGTGAGCAGAACTCTACTGCCTCCCAGAAAAGCTGAGTTTCTGGTTTTCCACCATTTTAGCTGGAAGAGATTCAAGTGGATTTAGATGCTTGAGGACTGATGTTTGATTCTTTAAGCTTCTTTCAAAACTTCTGCCAAACAAGTTCCTTATTACTCTCTCCAGCAACAAAGTTTGCCCGAGATGCAAGCGGCGGAGAATGGGAATGTCCAGTCTTTGCTGGGGGATGCCCTGGCTGGCTTTGAGAAGTCTGTAAAGCTTCCTCCATGGGTTTCTGAGCTGTTTTGTCTCTTGGTGACTGCAGGACGTGGTGAGGCAGGTGCTGAGTGCCATCAGAGCAGTGGCAGGTAACGATGATGTGAAAGACGCCATCGTCGCCGCGGGGGGGACGGACCTGATCGTGCTCGCCCTGAGCCACCACCTTGGCAACCCTCAGGTATGCACCCAAGGGAACTGGCTGATTATAAAATGGTTTAGGTTGAAGGGACCTTTCAAGGTCATCTAGCCCAACCCCCCTGCAGGGAGCAGGGACATTGACAACTAGAGTTGCTCAGAGTCCCATCGAGCCTGACCTTGAATGTCTCCAGGAAGGAGGCCTCCCCCACCTCTCTGGCAGCCTGTTCCAGTGTCTCACCACCCTCTTACTAAAGCACTTCCTTCTAAGTCTAATCTAAATCCACCCTGCTCAAGCTTAAAACCATTCCCCTCATCCTGTTGCTACACTCTGTTGTAACCACTCCTTCCCCAGCTTTTCTGTAGGTCCCTTCAGCTACTGGAAACCCACCATGAGTTCTCCCCAGAGCCACCTTTTATCCAGGCTGAACAACCCCAGCTCTCTCAGCCTGGCCTCATAGGAGAGCTGCTCCAGCCCTCTGATCACTTTTGTGGCCTCCTCTGGACCTGTTCCAACAGGTCCATGTCTCTCCTTGTCACACGGTTGATGAAATCCCACTGGGGCTGGGAATGGAGATGGGCTTTGGGCTGTGTAATGTGTAACTTGTGGAGGGGAACAAGCCACAGTGTCACTCTGACACGTGATCAATGATTGTGCTGAGAGCAGCGACGTTCTGAGGAACAATTACAATGGAGCAGTGTGGTAAACCTCTCACATCCAGCTGGTGTAGAGGGATTAAGTGCATGCTTTGGCAAATATTTGTGCAAATGTCCATGGTATTAGGTTTTTTCTTGTTCCTGGATACTGTGTTTTACACCTTTTGCTTTACATGCCAGAGAAGCAGGATGTTTCAGCAGCAGAAACTTTAAAAAAATCAACCTAAATTTATTTTAAATTGCCAGAAAAGGTAACAAACTCCAAGCACTACTTTTTTTTTTCCCCTCTTTAAAGCAACGTTTTCAGCCAGTGCCCTTTGTGTTGCAGATCTGTGAGCAGGGCTGTGCAGCCCTGTGCATGTTGGCCCTGCGCAAGCCCGAGAACTGCCAGGTGATCATGGACGGCGGCGGGGCCCTGGCAGCTCTGCAGGCCATGAAGGCACACCCACGGGAAGTGGCAGTGCAGGTACTGCCCTGGGGGCACTCCCTGGTTGGTTTGGGTCTCTGTTGGCTGCCCTTGATGCTTCCCTGGGGGTTTTGTCCTCTGCTTGACAACTAGAAAAGGTTCTGAGCGCGTCGGGGATGCGGCGTCTGAGTGCGGCGCTCCCCTGATGTGTCTGTCACCCTGATGTGGTCAGAGCAGAGGTTAGTTTGGGTTTCAGACCCACCCAAACTCAGGTTCAGGAGACTGTGGAGTGCCACGATTCTCTTCCAGGCCTTCTGCCCCTCCTTGGAAGAGCAGAATGAGGACAGGCTCCTTCAGCCCCAGCCTGTGCTACGATGTTATCTCTCCTATAGGAGACGTGGCCATCTATTCTCCAGTCAGATAAAACCCCTGTGTGGCAAGAAGTCACCTTCTGGCTTCTCATGCAAGTCTCAGTAGGTTCTGCATCCACTTGAGCGCTCCCCAAAGTGTTAAAACACCACAGGAAATACTTTCTGAAAGAGAAATTTAAGCTTAGTGCCTGGAACAGCCTACAAGGGGGGTGCAGAGGGTGCCTGCTGTAATCCTGTAATTCTGACTTGGCATGATTTAAAGAAGTACTTGGTATTGCCTGGCTGGTGTTGGGAGATTTGCTGCTGTTCTTCAGGGTGAAATAGCAGCTATAGTTTTGTCCATGGATTTTTAACCCTTCCAGGAGGTAGTTTGTACAGCATCTCCCACGTAGCTGCACAGAACAGGTTCTTTAGTTGGAGGCAGGCCTGCTTTGTGTGTTCCAGCATCCTCCACGGGTGGTGTTTCCCTGCAAAAGACACTAACACCTGGTTTCCCTCTCTCCTCAGAAGCAGGCCTGCATGCTGATCCGCAACCTGGTCTCCAGGAGCCGGGACTTTTCTCAGCCCATCCTGGAGATGGGAGCTGAGAACCTCATCACAGAAGCTCGTGCAGCGCACAGGGACTGCGACGACGTGGCCAAAGCTGCCCTGAGGGATCTGGGCTGCAAAGTGGAGCTCCGGGAGCTGTGGACGGGTCAGAAGGGAAGCCTGGCACAGTGAGTGGGGGCTCCTCGGGGCCGTGGAGCTTGGAGGCATCAGGGTACCTGAAGTCTGAGGGGGAAACAAAGTGGCATGGATTAATCTGCAGTTCCATTGGGCTGGAATACCCGAAGCAAATGCCTGGCTTGTGAGGCTGCGGTGAACTTTGTATCAGGAGCTACAGCTGAAGTGGCTTTATACATTCACAGGCTGCAAATGGACTCTGTGTAGTAATCATTCCCTGTGTCATCTCATGCCTGAAGATGATCTGCCCCCCCCTGTCACCTATGGTCCTTCCTGCAGAACGGGGCCACTCCCGCACGCTCTGCTCTGAACAGTGACAGCAAAAGTGGCTCTTTTTGGGTGGGAGTTTGGTGCATTCCATGGCAGCCAGTCCTGTTTCAGTCCTCTGCTCTCTGCTGGTGGAGGCTCCAGCAGCCTGGCCTGGTAGCAGGCTGGAGGAGGAGGAATCCCATCATCTGTGAACGTGTTCTGTCCTGTTGTGCTCTTCTGCCAACTGTTCTTTTACTGCTGAGCCTATTTGGTGTTGCTGCTTCAGTTTGGATTTTTTGGCCAACGTAACATTTTAAACAAAAGCAAAGCAAAGATTTTGGACAACGTGGCTCGAAGCGACGCACTTGCTGATGTTGCCCTTTGCATCCAGGAGGAAAGTTCACGTTCTCTCGCAGTGAGAAGAGCAAGTTGGGGCAGTTTCCCAGCAGGGACAAACAGGCAGTGGTGTCACACAGCAGGGAGGCAGCACTGGGGAGACCAGGCTTTGGTTGTCTCAGCAGGGCACGATTCCCTGAACCCTGGAGTGCTGTGGGTCACGAAGAGGCCACACACCTCGTGGACTGAAGAGAGCTGTGGACTTGGGGACAAAGGGGGAGGTGGAACATCCAGAAAGGCTTGGAAGCCTCAGCTAAAGGCTTCTGTGTGCCCCAGTTCCTCGCCGGGCTGTGTTGTTACCAGTTCTGCTCTGGCACTGAACCTTCCTCCTGCTGCTGGTGTTGTGCTTGGGTGGATGTTTCCTGATGTGATATTCTCCATAGAAATGTTAACCCTATAACCCTTAATAACATACAAGAGTGCTTGGCTCCTCACGGAGCCTTTTGGAGGCAGGAAAAGTGGTGGGTGGGTTTATAAGGAGAGCCTCCTGCAGCCCTGTGTTACCTGCCAGCAGGTAGCAAAGGTCGTTGTGTTCCTCAGAGGCCTTGACCCCAGGGGAGTGTTTGGGGAGGGGCTGCCGGGGTCTCCTTTCTTCTGCCTTGTGAAAAGCTTGGTGTGTTTGGGCACTTGTAGCCAGGATCCTCCAGTGAAGAGGCCCCACTGATTTGTGGCAGAGGGGGCAAGAAGAGCTACTGAAGAGACTCTGAGGTCCCAAGCCCTTGGCTGCCCTGCGTGGGAGAGCAAGCCCAGTGCCTCGGGCCTGGCTGAGCTGATTTTCCCATGGCAGCCCTCCTGGTGCAGTGCCTTTGTGCTGAGAGGTAGGAGGGCGTTGATAACAGCCCTGTTGTGACTACCA